ACGAACGAACGAACATGCTCGTAGATCCTACGAACGAACGAACGAACATGTTCGTAGATTCTACGAACGAACGAACGAACGAACAAACGAAAATGTTCGCATACGAACGAACGAACGAGCGCTCGTTGACCGCTCTGCTCGTATCCAAATTAGCAAACTAATTACAAAACCACAAAATATCAACAATTTTTTTTTTGTCCTGCAATCGCATTCCAGAAGAAGAAAAAAACCAGTGTACAACGAAACGATGCAGCGCAAAAGCGAATGGCATTCACCGTAATCTAAACGCAATTCACCGTTGAATTATGTCATGGTGTTTTTGTCTGCACAGTTTTTCGGTGCTGGAATCGTTTGTTTGTTTATCGGCCTCGCATTTCCAAAGTTAATTACTGATGCTGTGTATGATAATCAAATCAAACGAAATTGCAGCAGTGTCCAAATATTTTGAAGTATATTTGAAATGTGTCGCATGTAAAAATGTGTGCACGTATGCCGCACAATGAAATGTATCACGCACATAAACACCATCACCATTGGTTTGGTGGACCGAAAATGAGAGAAAGAGGGAGAGAGATGTTATGTAATGCAGGCGCAATTCGCTTGAAAACCACGCATTCGTTCTTGTCCACTCTTTCTCTCCATATCTCCCCCCGGTTACAAATGTGTCATTTAAAAGTGGTATATTGAAATTGGCCAAACACTAGCAAATAAACACTAAACACCTCCCCAAAACACATGGCGGGAATGTTATTTAGAAAAAAGTGTGAGCTCGAGCGCGCGCACACACACAGCAATGAAAATGAAACCGCACGAAAACAGTCAAATTGATTGCTGCATTTTAGAAACAATTGTTTTTCGGAAAAATATAACAAATTTGCCGCCGATTAAAATCTGGTGACAATGCAATTATGCGGCAGATGGTGAGCCCATTTATTGTTCAAACCTATATGGGAAAAGTCTGCATTAGATTTTGTTTGTCGAACAACAAAGCGAATTTTCGCTTTGTACAATTTAAATTTCATGGCAACTGCCAAATCCAATTCGATCCATATGCGTTCACATAAAATTGTTGTGCATTTGAATTGATTGCTTTAAAGAGTTCAGCACCGTGAATCGGTTTGATTTCCCATACAGACAAACGCCTTTTTAACGCAATTAATACGAATAACTTTATCAATTGGGTATCTCAACGAATCGATCTGGGCGAATCAACATTTGTAATCGTGGCAATTCAATTGAAAACGGCCACTGTAATTCTGGTTGTCACATTATTTGCCGCATCGATGTGAAGTATCGTTGTCGCCACTGCCACCACTGCCGCTATCGTTATCGTTCACGAATGTGTGCATGAGCCGTAAACATCAACCAGAAATGGATTCCAATGTGCGCCGCACAACAATATACACAAATACATCCCATTCATCCGGTCGAGCCCCAATAATATGCTCAACATTAATATCAGCCGAGATATTTTCGGTAATTATTTCGTATAATTGTTATCAATATTACCTGTGCGATTGTTGAAAATGTAATAAATGCTAATCCCAGGTAATTTATTGATTATATTCTAACCAACAACAAAATGGACATTCGGTGGCCCCAAATCAAAATCCGAATCAAAAAGATGGGCTATGTATTTTGGGTGGATTTATGTATGCGAATGCTCGTTAATAGCTTTCCTATTCAGCAAAATGGAAAACAAAACAAAAAATAAATTCCAATCGGATTAGTTGGGCAAGTTCGATGCACAAATCCGGATCAATAATGAATTGCCAGACCATAAATTGGTTCTGTTGAGCTTAAAGGCGTCACAACATCAAATGTGCCATCGGCCTCGCAAGTGTCAAACTGTATTATACAACAACAAATCTATGGGAAATGGGTGCGTTTAATGCGATGCGTTGTTGTGCAAATGCTTGTAATTTAGCTAAAATGTTGAAGTGTATGTTCAATATTATGACCTAAGCATTGGATTTGTTTTACTATCGAACGAGCGGGTCCTGATCCGCTTTAGGGTGACACACACACACACACATATCTAATTTATTTTTCCAACAACAAATTAAATGCACACATTATTCCGATTTATGTGCATCAAAATCGGATCAAGTGCTGCACCATCCCGATACGCCACTCCATACATTCAACGATGATAATTTTCTCGAACGTACATAACTAATTGGAACGCAAGCCATAAGAGTAAACATGTTTAATTTCTCTAATTTCTCTAATTTTCGATCATTGTCCATTGAAACATTAAAACACATACGCATTATTTTAGTATCATTGCTTTTTAATTGGTGTTATTATTAATTAATTACCGAACATCCGAGAGACAAATCAAGTTTAGATACAAAATTAAGCGACTAATATGGAAACACTGATAAAAAAAATAACTAATTAATTCAAATAAAAGCACAAAATACCGAAAATGAATAAAAAAAAAATAAAAAATAAAAAAAAAACCAAACAAATCTCTGGATTCTAAATACATTTGTGGTGTTTTTGCAGTTGGCAGATGAGGAATGGTTAGCTCCAAGTCTGCTGGTGTAGTTCCCATGATGTTGGCCACGATAGCATCTTCAACAGCAGAGCCATACAACAAATGATACAATCACTGAAACTCACTGAAAATGAATCTTTTGTCTACTACAACTGCATGACATTCATTTCAATCGATCGGATCAAACGGAACAATTCACACAAATGAAAAGCGTCGAAACATAGTATAAATATATACATATGACAAAGAAAAAACTTGAAAAAAATTAAATATTAAACACAAAAAAATATATACAAAAAAAAACTAAGCAAAAAAGGAGAATTTCCTCTCACACATACACACACACACACACACACAAACACACACCGTAAAAAATTCCAAATAACAATTAAATATACAAATTTAAAGTAGACGGATATCCTTTTAGGACAAAGATTAAATCAATTAAGCAAACGATAGTCAACAGAATGAAAATTAATCAAACAAAAACGAAGTAATCGAAGGCTAATTGATAGCACTGGATGTTATTTCAACAAAATGATACAAAGAAGAACACAAATAAGAGGCAACAACATACATATACAAATAAAGATAAAAAAAACACTAGAAATAAAAACCCAATTAGAATCGGAAACATTTATTGAGGATATTTTGCAACCTATAAGAATAACAAACAAACAAAAAACCAAGCGACACTGCAAACTGAACAAAAATTGAATAGGAAATATATTTAAACAAGAGTTAAATATTTATATTGAAACATAATGATTATTGATGAGAATTATTATGTGAAAACAGAAAAAAAAACCAACAACCATAACAACACTATAACACATCCACGATCAAATTTACAATACATAAACAGAAACAAATTAAATGAATCCAAAATGTTCGATCGATGCATAGAAACAGAATAAAAACGATTGAATTAAAAAAAAAATACCATTCGTAGAATTTAGTTGTTCATATCCACATCCACACACTGAAACACAGACACATTCCGCTATTGTATAAGATTACAAAATATTGAACACACATATACAATTAATTATACGTATTTGTAGAGGAGATGAATAAGGAAAGCGCTTTTTGCCCGATACTAACTCATCGCCGCCAAATTCCAATCAACGAATCTATTGTACTTTATTTTCTGGTCGTTACGTTCATTTCATGTTCAATAAGTCACATTTTGATTTGAAGTTTTGTACAGAAAAGAAAAACGTGGATTTGAATGAGATCAATCAGACATTACGTTTGGCTGCATATTGAGCTGAGCTATTTTCAAATAGCTGGCTGTTTGGTACATTTTGATTTTGTGACAAGTGAGCCATGCAAATTCATGTGGAATGTTGAATTTATGACACAAAAAATTCGTGAAAAGGATTGAAAAAGGTGTCACAAATTCAATATTCCACATGAATTTGGATGGCTCGCTCGTCACAAAATCAAAATGTACCAAACAGCCAGCTATTTGAAAATAGCTCAGCTCAATATGCAGCCAAACGGAATGTCTGAGATCAATCGATATAGTTTATGTATCGTTCATCAACATTTATTTTTAAGAATCAGAAATGGCACTCACCTAACAGTAACTGGTGCTGTGATCGTGTGAAGATTAATAATGTCGTCCATAGCGAGACAAAACGAAAAACGAAACAGATGAAACGAGCAAGAGAGGGCAGCACAGCTAATTTCTGTAATTTAATCGAAACGATTCTCGGCCAATTTTGTGCCGCGTTTTTTTTTTTCGTTCGGGGATATGTTGATGATGCCCGGAATATGGGTCATTTTGATTACGATGCGGCAATCCGTAATTTTTTTTATGTTCATTTATCATGCCCAAGGGATTAAAATAACAAAAGCAGTTGAAAGTGTAAACATTTTACGACACAGAGATATTTGTTGTTATAATTCATTTTATTTTTTTCTGTTCTGTTCGGTTTTGTTTCTGCTCCTCTGTCGTGTTTTATTACACAATAAATAGTGTTGTTACTTCAATATTCGAATGGATATTTTATGTTCTTGTGCTGTAATTGACGACACCAAAAACAATGGCAAGCATCAATATAGCTGTTGTCCAATAATTTATGGTGGATTTTGATTGGGAAATCATAAGTGAATCAACAACAAAAACAACAACAACAACAACAGCGACAAAAATAAAGAGTGAACAACCAATGAGTGGAAGAGACAAGAAAAAAAAACCAAATGGTTTGAAAATACGACATAACGGCCACGAAAACATACATTAGATAATATTTTTTTGTGTTTTTCGTTGAAATTGATTGGATCGAATCGAATATAAATATCAGAAGTCATATTATGCGTAATTTTCTTTCAATTGTATTGCATCTGAAAATAACATGAGGACGAGCAAAGCTTTGTGATCTTGTACATATTGAACATTAAAACCAACCAAAAAAAAACATAGATGGGTCATAGATAAAATAAAATATAATGATAAAACCAAGAAGGAAAGAGAAGAAATGATTTAGCTGGAAATAACTTTAAACGCTAGATGTTGTATATACGATTCCAGAAATAAATTAGATAAATTGATTTTTACATATGACAAAAATATAGCAAAAAGAAAATGCGAATAAGATAACAAGAAAAATACAAAAGAAGGAGAAAAAAAACTTTTATTGATAATGAAGTGCACCGAAAGTGTTTAGGCCTTAGGCTTACCGATCGTAACTGAGAATGTAGAAATAATTTTTAGGAATATTCAATATGTAATTGAGGAAATGTAAGATGTAATGAAATGAACAAACAAAGCACAAGTGAAAAACAACAAACAACAAAACATTTACCAAGAAAATTAAGAAAATTACAATGTATAAGAAAATATTTTTGAATCGAAACATTTCTTCGAATGGAATGAAAACCTTCAATTTAAACAAGAGCATCTAATCTCGTTTTCGAGAACATATTCTCTGTTTCTGTCTGTCATGTGCGCCCGTGTGTGCGCTCGCTCGTTCGCCCACGCTCTTTTTGGTAGATAACAAGTTTGTCTTTGCTAATTTGCATTTTTGATTCCCTCGAAAATGTTATGTTTGCTAATTTATTTGGCAAAACGCTCGTTTTCATTTGATTTCATTGTGCGTTTTTCTTCATCCATTCTCTTTTTTCCTTTCTTTTCTTTAACCACACGCAACGATTTAACGGGGGATTGACCGCTCACACACACACACACACTCACACACACATAAACAACAAACACACAACGATGATTCCAACAAATCAACCAACAAACAAAACAAAAACCAATCACGAACGTACGTACATACATGAAAATGAAACGCGATGCGTAGATTGATGAAAGCGCCTATTCAACTATGGACAACATTTATGGAGATTACAAAAGTCATTCTCCACCAAAAAGCCCACATATTTCAATTAAAGATGTTCGCTACTTATCCAAATACAATTCGAAATTGTGCTATCAAGGACCGTACGGCGTCTATTAAACAGCATAAAGCATGCACAGAAAGAAAAAAAAAACAAAACAAACAAACGGACTTTTAAAGCATCACTACACAAATCAACACTGCACGCATAGCTCATACACATGCAAACATTCACTCGGAAAATTACCAAAAAAAAAAGAAAACACACACACATAAACACATACAAATTGCACCGAATATTTATTACCCTTATTGTATGTCTGAGCGTTGCTTTGGAATCGATAGGAAATGAGTGTGTGATGAGAGATAGGAATTCAAATATGTGAATATCAACCAAGATGTAGAAATTATTTAAAATGAAGATTTTTTTTTTGTATTCGTTTCGAACGAAGGAATAAGCAAATGGCACTTTTTTATTCGTTAATTTCGCCCGCATGATGAATTGTGAATGTGTTCAACACAGAGCTCATTCATTTGATTTGACTCAACGGATTTTTTGTTTGGTTGTGTTTTTTTTTGTTTTGGTTTTATTCTGTTTTGCTTTTACTTCACTCGGTCCAATTGCGAGGCTGTTGAAATTCAATGAATTTGGAAGCCGCATTCAGGCCGACCAACACACAAAATTCATGGTAAAACAAGTTAGGCACTGTCAAGCGAATAAACGACATGTCATTTGAATGTACGTATATACATATATACAGTTATATATATAACAGTTAGCCTTAGGCTGATTTAATCGATCTAATCTAAAAACACATTGAAAATGGAAACACACAACTGAATTGAATGAACAAACAAACAAACAAAAAAAGAATGAGAATTATGAATGAAAGAAAAAAAAACCGATTATGAATTCAGATCAGAATTTATTTAGGGATTAATATACATAAATTAGATAAAGCAAGCATATTGTTTGTTCAAAATGCATGTTCGATGTGTATGTAATTAAGAGAAATAAATGAGTGTCGTGACCACGATGAATTTGTGAATGGAAACAACAGTAACAAAGCACTATAAAAAAATTGAACTTATAGTACCATAATCAAACTCCTATAAATGAAAGAAAATGTATGTAAATGTACGCTGGGTCTTCAGATTGTATAACTAGATCAGTTGAAGAGGAAAAAAAATCAACAATCGAAATCTGAATTGGTCGAATTCAATTACATGCGGCAAGTTGCATTGCATACTAAATCAAATGCCTCGCGTCACAACCTAATAAAAGAAGCACTTTTTATATCAATTTCTTTCCGAATGCCGGATGAATCATTCAACATTTCTGTTTATGTTCACATGAACAGAAAAAAAAACGATTTTCATTCTGTTGAATGTTACAAAAATGCGTTAACCATCCGTGACATTTATCTACTTTTGATTGCTGTGAAATATTGAAAAGCTTTTATGTTAAAACGCATATCGATAACGTCGATGATCCCAATGCCAGTTCACATCAAAAACACTTGTGAACTGCTTTGCAGTATTTTTATTTCGTTCAAATACTTGTTTTTCAGTTTGATTAAACGCAAGCATAGCAATTGAATGAAGGCAAATGTAAAAACATATATTCATAAGTGTGAACAATGAAAACAAAACAAATAACTCACCCAAAAGATGAAAAAAACAATGGAAATGGTAATTGTTACTCGTCAACCCAAGCTACCGAACATGTTTCGAAGTCATCAGATGTATCGGATTCTCCGAAATGAAAGAACATTATCTACGAACCGAAACATGAAACACTACGTTGTTATGTGAAAGCTTGGGATGATACATACGCAAAAAAAAAATACCGTAGACTTAGAATATTCGTATATTGTAATTATAACGTTCATCAATATCAGCAAATCAATATTTATGCATAGATTTAACGGCGCTGATGAACGATTTAATTGATAAATATAAACCAAAAATATACATGTAGATTAATTATTTAGGACCTAGCAAATCAATGAACGATTTAGATGAATATGAATGAAAGATTCCTACCAAAAACAGCAACAGCAACAGCAACAAATTGTCAACGCAACGCAGTAAAAATAAGGAATTACAACAAAAAACCAAAACAAACAAAAAACGCGCACATTCTCAGAACCGAACAAAAACCATTCAATATTTCGTAATTTCTTCGTTTTGGTTGTGCAAAAAAAAAAATCCAAAGAAGCTACATAGAAAGACCAATTGAAACGAACAAATTGAACAATGATTACAATCAAATTGTCAAAACACAAGAGTTCAATCAAATTATATTTGTGAAATATGATAACATTTACCTCTCTAGTGTGGAAATCGATGCGTTTGAAATGACTACACTTACTCACATACATACATACACACACGCTATGCCATGGCATTTCGATTGAGCAGAGTTAAAGCACAAAGGCCGTTCGACTGACACGGACACAAACACTTGAACAGGTAATTAATCGATTTAATGGCATAAATTGGTAGTCCATCCGTTAAGATGTGTCACGGTATAAATGCGCTTTTTACCATTTTATGTTAACCGGTATGGATTTTCATGTTTTTTTGTTTTTATTTTTTGTTCAATTCATATTTTATGTTAAAATATAAACCAAATAGAGAGAAAATTAATGAATATTACTATGTGATGATCAGCATGCAGCAGCTTGTTTGTAAATGAAATTCAGCGATTAATGAAAATAATCCGAAAATTGTGTTTGTTTGAGAGCTATGTTTCGATTTCCCAAAAAAAGGAAGAAGAAGACAAAACATGATAAGAAATTTTATGCAATAATTTATGTTGTGTTAATCATAATTGAAAATGTGTGTTAAAAAGTAAAAGACTACAAAACGATAAAATTAACCAAAAAAAAGTATAAAAGAATATATATATATATATATAGATATATAGATATATTTATCCATGGGGAGAGGGAATCAGTTGCGATAAATTATTGAGTAAATCGGTAACGAAATGTTAAGTGGATTTTATTTCGTGTCTTATCAAATATTTCAAATGTTTGTAAATTAATTTTCTTTCGTTATGTTCGGTGCATATCCTTGCTGCGGCAACAATGCTTATGCTGTCAGCGTCTGACAAAATGATGACAGTGTTCTGAAAACCCATTTCGAATAATCAACAACAATATGAGAGAAAATGATGGAGAGAAAAATAATGAATTTTCAGCCTGTTACGAAAGAAGAGAAATTACAGAAAGATGAAAAGCAACTTGTTGTAGAAATACTCTTGTTCGATCTATTCAGCTATCTACATATTTGGTTGTCAACCGATTTTATGTACAAACAGTCATTTGTTTTCTTCTTCATTTAGTTAGTTTCTAATTATCTCGAGTTCATATTAGACGGGTAACTTTTCAATTTGAAAAAAAAGTGAGATAAGTTTATAAGTTTTTCTCGACTTAGCATATTCGCAATTGCTTACAACTTAATCGATCAAAATAAGATAGACATTGATCCGGCGCAGAAAGTTTAAACTTTTAATTTGTTGATATCATCCAATTTTTTTTTTCCGAATGAATTTATCCAACGATCAACTTTGTTTTGCGCGATGGAGAAATGCTTATTCGCCTGCAGAATGGACAAAAAAAACCTTTTCATTTTTATCGTTAGCCATGAAGAATGATACGAACAAGTCTAACAGTATAAGAGAAACACGTAAATCAACAATGATACGCAATATCGACTATGCGAAAGGTTTCAATTTATATGTTTTATTTTAAGCACCTCTACTTAAGATAACATAACAATTTAAACAACAACAACAACATGTAGACAAAACGATAACAAACCGAGATTGTTCATAAGAAAATCAAATCATCGAAGCAAATACAATATACAAGCTGATTTACATACACTATTTTGGCATTCAATTGGTACTTCAACCCTGCACTGCGATTTGTACAGCGTTTGGTATTTATGTTTTGGTTTTTCCCCAATATTTCAAAAGACAAACACCGATCTCAACCAATGTATACTCACAGATGGCATGGTTACGAAAAGAGAAAATAAAACAGAAACAACAACAACAACAACACACACACACACACACCATACAACCACATATATATTGTAGGTATGACTAAGATTATGTTAGCGATTTAGTATTAGATAATTGCAAATCAGAAAATAGCTTTTAAGTCACAACTAATATCCAACCAATGCAAACCATACGGCAAACCATAGGACGGCTGAATATCAATTATAGATCGCAATATGTTCGTAGCAAAGCCCGAACGACGTCAACCATTTACTATCAAGCTAAGAAAGAAAGATAGAAAGAAAAACAAAGACTAGAAAAAATGACATTGAATGTACCACACCGCAATCTTAATCATAGCCATCGATTTGCAAAGCTCGACGTTCATCGTCGAATTGAAGCGAGGAAATGAGTGTGAATTTTATGAATTTTAACTTGTATAACAATAGTGAATATTGAATACAAACAAACAAACAACCAAAGTATATTTTAGAGAATGCATGTGAACCTTACCATTGTTCACCTATTGAATATTCAATTCGATCAAAATATGATCAGGCCCGCGCTTGATACGGGCCGTATCTTAGCTTTGTTAATACACAACGAAACTAAACAACAACAACAACAACAAAATACTAAAAACAAAAGTGAAGATTAAAAAAACACTAAAATCAAACAAACATTTTTTTACATAGTGAGAATTGTTAGATGGATTTTCAAGCTCAATCCTCTTTAGGACTTTTTGTATGGCCTGTCAGCTAGTTTTATCATGGAATTTCATTATCCACTTTGAAAAATGAATCGAATGAAAGTTAACAATTGATGGATGGCAAATGTACTGGAGCAAAGTGATGTTTATATGAAATTAGTCCCTATCCTCTTCCGCCCACACACACACACTCTGTCTCACTAACAAAAATAATCACACCGATTTTCTGTTTCGATAATTTTCATTGAACACAATAAAACCTGATGAAATTTGAACATCATCAACCAATTAAAAACAAAAGTTTCATAAAACCATCCAACTAATTTTCATGCATTTCTCCTCCCAAAACTAATTTTTGCATCATCATCTTTTGCTCTGATCAAAATGACTTCAAACGGAAAGTTGCAAACGATTCTCACTGGATTGATTATGAAATTATTTGAAGAAAACGGAATACAACTAAAAAATAGAGAAGAAACGACAAAAAAAAAACGTATATCAGTTGTCCGCTTTGGTTTCAACGGTGCGCGCATCAAAGCTTACGATAGCAGCCACAGGAATTTTCCTTTGTTCATTGTTTCAATTTCCTATTTTTCGAGCGAACGAATGGAAAAATGATTACGAAAAATATTACAGCCTTCTTAAATTCCACTTTAGCCTTACCAAACGAGATAAACAACTACAGCAACAAGATGAAAAAAATACACACACAGATGGAGAGAAGAAAAAAAGAAAGACACATATATAGAGCAGAGATAAATACACTTCAGATTTTTTAGAAGACGAAGGGAATTGCGACATGCAAATTTATGCATATTTTTGCTACATTTATTATCAACTATGTAGAATGGTATGGATAGGCAACCATTTGAAATGAATTTTTATTGATATTGCGACACAGAAAATTATGCAAATGTGCAATATTCTAATTTTCTTTGCAAAAAACACGACACATTATCCAAATGCAGCAGCGACATGGAGTCAATTTTGAACAAATGAAGAAGAAAAAACCGCGCGCGCACAAACACACGCACTAGATCCCTTTTGCATGAGTTGAATAGATTCCCAGTAGAAAAGCTTTATTCAGTCCGCATTTTTTCTGTTGCACATAGAATCGGTTCTATCAATTTCGCTTGGGATGCTTTCTCTCTTTCTCTGCTCCATCTTTCCATCTCTCTCGGCGTCGATGATGACAAAATGAGAGATTGATGATTGAAATCCCCTATTGGGGCTCATCTTCCAATCATTCCTTATACGGGTGTAATATCTAATGCCAAACCATTTGAATCACACACATTTTACAAAATTAAATTGAACGCGGCATAGCAATTTGACACAAGAACCGACACTGAAGCGGAATCTATGATGATTTTCGGATTGATCTCTCTCCATTGAACCGAGAAAGAAAAAAACATGTAAAACAAAATACTCACATTAACACACACACACACACAAAAAAAAAACAACAAAACGAAAGCAATATTTTTTAATTTCTCACACAAATAAAAGGGAATGAACCATACCATAGGTAGTGAAAAACAAACCGTCAATACATGAATGGGATAGTAGAAAAAACATTAGGAATTAAATAAAAAAAGCGGAAGAAAAAAAATGATGAATTAACAAAGCATAAATCATTAAATGTACTGTGTAAATGTGTATTTGTTATTGTTAATGGATACTTGTTAATTGAGCATATTCCAGTCGATGCACATTGACCGTTTCGGTTTTATTTTCATCATCCATACCGCCAATATGTTGCGTTGCGTTCTCCTTTTTGTCTCGCTAGTAAGTTTGTTTTGATTTCATCATTGCTGGAATATGTTGCTTGTCGCTAGTCGACCAAGGAAAATGAAACGAATGGTGAATGTGTTTCTGACTAACCATATATATATATACATGCATTTAACAAACAAACAAAAAAATAGAATAAGAAAAACTAGAATGAAACCACTCAAAACAAGTGAACAAATTTAAACAAACAAACAAACAATCCATAAGCAATGAAACCATGGATCATGTGCCATTTTCATACAAAACGGAGATCCAGCACATCGATTATTCTTTTCTTTTTGTGCCATCTAATAGCTCAATTTTTAAATGTTGTTAAGTTAAATTTCTTAAATGAGTTTATTTCTGGTGCACATGTTTCAAGCGAATTAGACCAATGAACGAACACATATTCGCAGCAAATCATCGGCTGCCGTGGTATTGAATCAAAAAAAATAGTTTTTAATGTTCGACGATGGTTATTTCAATCGCAGATCGAATGCTCATTCAAACACTCACTCTCTCACACACACTGAGCCACAAACCACTAACATTTTATTCGTAGCGAAACAAAGAGTATATCGAAAACAAAAACATGCCTGAAATCAAAATCAAAATTATTTGGAAAAAAAACGCGACAGAGAAACAAGAAGACAATGTAGATCACACACACATACACAAATTTATCGCAAAATCAGCATAAGCAACCAAAGATCAAAATGAGCCGTGAAATGATTTTTAAAACATACTATGAACAAAAAAGAAGAAGATGACAATGGGAGCAATCACTCTCCCCTCAAACCAAGGCAACAACTAACCGAATAAAATCCACTGACTTTAGTGATAACGAAAGGTAAAACAAAATAACTTATGTATTATATTAACCAAAGCATATATAAATATTGAAAAAAAACCAAATGAAAGCTATATAAAGTGAACTATATATATATACATTTATGATTAGTTAAATTGAAGAAACCAAGAACAAATAGTTGTAGAGTCGAGAGTGTGAATATCCCCGGGTTAAACGGAAATTAAGTCGCCAATCATGTGTAGCGCATCATGAGAGTATCCATGAGCTGCTTACCGTTTATCATTTAACAATGTGTTTATGCAAAGCATTCGGTACAACACACACACACACACACACTTACATTTCAGATATATCGATTAAATGGCCACGAGGAAGAGAGAGAGAGAGAAGGAGAGATCTTTCGATTTCCGTGGGTTTCAATCCATTCGAAAACAGATAATGTGCACCGTTTGGCCACGTATCTGGGGTATCATTTTTGTCTCTCGCTTAATCGAAAGGGATAATCGTACAGCATACACAAAATTTGTAGACAAGGTAACAAAAAGAATGTATGAAAATTGTACACACATATAGACACACACAAAAAAAAACCGTTAAAACGGCAATGATGCAAACGACGAGATGGCAGCTATTGCGTGCATTGCCATTAGAAATTTAAATAAACACATCCAACATCCGTAACGTAAAACTGGTAACGAATGAAATAAATTCGGTAAACAATTGATGGCATAGTAGGAAAACAGAACAGTAATACTTAGTAATTAAAAACAAAGAACAAAACAAAACCAAATAAAAAAAAAACTAATGGATAAAATAAACGCAAATTAAAAGAAAATGATAGTGAAAAAAAATAACAAAACATA